TCGAAAAATTCAAAGAAAGTCAAAATAAGTGACTCAATGAAATTAATATCAAGTTCTACAACCGCATATACATATACTCTCATAGTTGTTCTTTAGATTATTATTCAATTATTGTTAGTTTATGTAACCTATAGGTCCTAGGTTCGGATCCCTGTTGGAGGGAGTTAGTTACCAATTTGGATTACTTAACTTCCTTATTTTTTATCAATAAATGAGTTCGGCTAACCGTATTTCGCACGCATGACGTTTAAGAAAGAAAGTTGTGCGTTGATACAATCAAAACTAGAAATATTTTTCATCCTTCAGAAAAGGTAATAAGTTCAATTTCTCTTCCTAGAGATAAGCATCCAACTATAGAAATTACTAAGTGCTCCATTCCATGTACATTTTCAGTGCATAGATCTTTCAGGAGATCCACCATCACGTCTAGTGAGTCAGACATCAAGAAAAAAGGAATACTTAGTTCAGATTCCCTTTCTATGCTAAATTATCGGGAAGGACAACAGTCGTTGAGTGATCTTGTAGCGGAGTGAATTATGTTGTCATAATAATCGCTGAAGTACCGTGCGTCTCTATTTTTTTACTAAAAATTATGTGGTAGGATGATTTGATAAAAAATAATAACTTTGTCTGGGTATTTATTATGTTGACTAGTTTAAAAGTCATTCTGTTTAAATGAATGTATTGAACACATTGAAATACTACCTGGTGATTCAATATTCAACGTATACCTTTGTTTAAATTTATTATTGTTATTATCTTCTATAGTCTTCACTTAGTTTCTTAAAAATAACACACGACAGTAATAGAACGATTAAATCAGCACTGATAATAAATAGAAGAAATAATAATTGCAGCTGTTTCTTACATTTGAGATAAAGAAATGCTTAAATCTCAAGAGATGTTCAATGTACAATATGGTGTTTTTAAAAATAATAATAACAAAATGTTTGACTCATCGTGATGATGAGAATTAGGTCAAATTATTGTTTAAAGAAATAGACATCTAATTAGCGATTAATTACTGATTTACTGAATCATGTTTGCAAATGTTCTCTATGATATTTCCTTTCTGTGTGTATCAGATTCTCTAGACGTTACATTTTCATATCTCCATAGTATTTGTGCATAGTGTTTGTTCATGTAATCTGATAAGAACTCTGTAAGTAGGCATGTATGTTAGTGTAGCAAAGAATGCAGATTACATAAAAATCAGTGAGCTAATCCTTCCTAATTAAGAGTTCCTAAGCTGTAAGTGCGTTGACACTCCATTCGAAATAGAAACCAAGATTGTCAAGTCTTTTGGCATACGTCTTCCCACACTGTCTGTGCAGACTGTAGACTCATTCCCCCATAAAAGATGTACTAATATGATAGCTAACTCATCTCGCAGGGAAAAAATACTTAGGAATCCATTTCAGCTTTTGTTTCACCTGAGATCTACGCAATCAAAAAGGATATGGATGCTTCATTACAGTCATTATTATTGTTCCCTTGGGTTCCTAGTGGAACATAGAACTTCAACTGCACCTCTCCACTTGCTTCTCTCTTCCTTTTGCTGTACTTTTCACCTGCATCCATGTTAGTCCATACTCTTTCAAACAACTCCTCTTCACACGATCTCCTCCATGTCACTCACTCTTGCACTGATGTCCCACTCGCCGCTTTCCTTTCGGTCTGGTTCCACTCGAGCAATGGCTTGACGGGCGCGCGATGTCATCCAGCGGCCTCCTCAGAAAATGTCCAATCCATCCATCTCCACTTTCTCCTGCATATTTGTTGGGCGATCGGCCCTCGTCTGTTGGTTTATTCCCATAGTTTCATGTTGGTGGTGATTCTTTCCAGCCCGGCCATCTAACCTTCAGTATTGATCCAGCGAAGACAGTTGTTGGTTGATAAAGGTCTACAACAGGCTGTTGGAAATATTCTTTGTGACCCGCCCGCCAGGTTTCTCATCCGTATAGATAAACCGACTTGACGTTTGTATTGAAAATCCGACCGAATTTTGTTGTTGATGCTGGTTGAGTGACGAAGACTGGTTTTCCAGATTAGTTTCAGGTTGATGGTGAATGTGTTTCTCGCCTTCACAATTTTCGCTCGACTTGAAATCCTCGTCCATTCCTCCTGTAGTTGAGATAATGCTCAATGCTAGATAAGTGAGTGAATGAAGTAACCTCTTTCCTAATCGCTCGCGTTGATGGTGACTGGCGCTAGATGTTGCTGCTGCTGTTGTTGTTGTTAGTTGGTTGGTTATTTTCATGACCTCCGTCTTGTCTACAGTCATTCTTTCCATAAAATTGCAGCGCTTTGCAAGCAATAAGAAACACTTTCAAACGACTTCATTTATGCAGCATATTACCCTAAAATGGAGTTTCCTTATGAAATTATTTTCAGAGCTATACAACCATGTAAATAAAATATCGATATAAAATATTCTTCTGGAAATTTCTGCTGACGCACAAAGACTGATGATTGTTAATATCTATAAGTGAAAACATTAAAATATAAAATATCAGCGCAAAGATTTCAGTTGTTTCAAGTTTTCTTAAACGAGCACACTCTTTGATGTTAACGGATTAGAAAGAAAAAGAAGAGGAAGACATATCAAACATTATTGAGACTCTCAAGCGAAATAACTACCCAAACAACTTCATCAACAAAATCAACACTGACATTAAGTATGATCGAAAGCGTATTCCGTAGGAAATGGACTTTAACAGTTGTCATTCCATATAGAGTGGAGACGTCAGACGCTATCATCAGATGAGTGTTCAATAAGGTCGACATCGGAGTTTTCTTCAAAACATCAGACACACTGAGAAACAACCTTGTCCATATAAAAGACTAAATCCCTAAAGATTCTCTATCTAATTGTGTCTTTAAAATAAAATGGTTGGAATGTGATGCGATATGCATCGGACAAACATTGCCAATGAGAAATCAAAATCAGAAGAAATGAGCATCGTAGAGCATCTGTTCGACCACCGAGGAATCTGGGTGTACTATAAAAGCTTGAAAAATCATCAGCTACAGAATTAAGCCACAAAATTGAAATAATCCAGGAAAATTACAGCAATCGCAAAGGACGTCTAATATCATCAAAAGCACTTCATATGAAGTGGAATCCAAATTGTCTAAATAGGAATGATAGACTAAAACAGATTATAGGTTTCCAGACCGCAGGTGTTACGAATTTCCTGGAATAATTTGAGTGCCGAGTTAGATTGATTCATTATATATCATTTAAATTAATCCCAGCGTGTTAAATCTTGTTTTGATTTTCTTAACACGCTGGGATTAATTTAAATAATTTATAATGAAAGACTAAAACAGAATATGACCTGGTCACAGCACCCTCGCCTCCTTGATGAAATGACAAAATCAACACATATGTGATAGGCAATTTCATAACATAAAAACACGCTGCTTTCACAACTTTAAACACTTATCAAATCCAGCAATCTACACATTATGGTTTCGTTATCTTATACTCATTGGTCACTTTGACAACGAAAAAATGCCCCCATGTTGAGGAACGATGATTAAGTTGTTATATATAAGCTGGAATTTTGTGGATTATGGTTTCATATTACTACTTTGATAAAGCTGTTAACAGAAGCATTAAATAGCGAAACATGAGTAAAAATAGAATCGTTTTGTTTTTCATTCATTTATTCATTAAAGAATACAAGAAACCTTTATAATAATTAAAATATAAGGAGGTTTACAACTAAGCTCATGGAAAATATTAAAAACATCACTCATCATTATTCTCATTCTGACGTAGGTAAATACTAATTGGGGAACCGAAATATTTTACCCCGTATTGTGCAGCTTCCTTAAATAAATAAGGTAGAAATTATTCTGTACAATTGGTGGATAGTGGCTGGCAGTGGAATCCAGGATGCGCATTTCGTCCTATTTGGGACTCGTCATCTGGATGTACCTGCATTCTCAGTGAGTGATGATGTTCCCACCGAGGCTCGAACCCAGTACCCATAGTTTCAAACGCCAAAGCGTTATCCACTGGACCACTTTGGCCACGAAAGCCGCCTCTTGTGCAACGGGTCATATTAATTATTGAATTGAATTTTTGGTTTTCCCGTCGATTGATCCAGACATCGTCGAAGCATCTGCACAAGAAGCCGACATGTCAACCTGAGACCGAGCACTTCGGTCCAATTAATCGACGGGAAAATCAAAAATTCAATTCAATAGAAATTATTCTCTTCAGTGAATAACACATCCTTCGATCTAATAGATTCTATTTCTCGTGTTTGCTGCGGCCATGGGGATCTTGATGACGAGCTCTGTATAAGAACTAAACACTCATTGAGTCATGAGGAAAATAAAGGATAACGCAATATAAAATATTACATTTTATTTATAATTTTAACTCTATCCTAAAGTCATCTATCTTAAAAATATCTATCAAATCTACCTGGCAACGGACCAACCAACCGATCATAACCAAATACTTATTCAGAAGGAAATAGAGGTTGGTTGAACACACGCTAAGAAAATCTTTCAGTGACATTATTCACCAGAATCTTGAGTGGAACCCAAATGAGAAACGTTGAGTTAGCCGCAGGACGGGGAGCTACATGGAAGACATATTGTTAAGACGAAGTTTACCCAGCTCCTTTTGTTTCCCAGTGTAGAGTAAAGCTCCAGTCATTGACGTTTCAATAACTAAGGTGGTATTGTTCTTTGGATAGGTCGAATTGCTAGCCCCAGCCTAACCTGTATCTTTTAATGGGTTTGCTTACTTCTAGGTGGCTTAAGAGTACATGAGATGATAACCGAATTCAGAGATTTAGCGTGGTGGTTAGCGAGCTTTCTACTGATAAGACTATCGAGGCACATAGAGGTCTGCAACTTTTGTCAATACACTCAGACTACTTGTAAGTAGCTCAAATATTCCGTTTACTTTATTGCCTAAGCTGTTTGCAGTTTTTCTGATGAAATTATATATTTTCTGATTTTGCCTTGACTTTTAGGTATCGTTCAAGTGAATCCACTTACAAACCAAAATAGCGAGTCTTATCAGTCAAGTTATGTATACAATGGCATATCAATTTATCGGAAGTTTAAGCTTAGCTTCACTGTTCAGTTTACTTACATGGCCTATTCTTCAAATGTTATGCTTTTATAAAATTATACATTATGCAAAGAATAATAATCATAATAATAATCAGAATAATATTTCAACTGTTGTAAAAACCACATCACGATGGGAGCAGAAGCTGTGGAATTTCGAATGGCAGATTCATCATTTAGATTGTAATATCTTCGCGTTAATAAGTAAGAGTTTTTATTTTCACCTAAATAGTTGTGAAATATTTAAATTGCAACGTTTTACTTTGTTATATATCACTATTATTTCGTTTAATACGTACAAGAACATGGGGCTTCAGCCACGCGTCGACATTACGTTCGGTTCTCTGCTGAAGTTTTCACCTGGCTCCAAGTCTGACCACATGATTTCATCTCCTCTCCACATGACCTCTTCCAAGTCACCCCTGCATTGACGACCAACTCGCCGCTTTCCTTTCGGGCCCCATTCAAGGGCTTGTTTAGTGATGTCACTTGATGGTTTGTTTTCTCAGAGTATGGCCAATCCATCTCTATTTCTTCCTGCCTAATTTTTGCACAATCGGTTCGTGGTTGGTTTGATTCCAGAGATCCCTGTTTCTGATCCTTTCTGACCAGTCATCTGGTCTTGAGCGAAGACTGTTGTTGATGAAGGTCTGTAGTTTGTTTGAGGTGCTCCTTGTGACGCGTCAAGTCTCTAATCCGTATAGCAAGTAGCAATAGCTTCACATTGGAGATGAAAATCTGTATCTTATTTTTCATGTCGAGTGTTGCTGGTCTCCACACGCACACTTGACAGCAATGAAGGCTTGTCTTGCTTTCCTGATCTTTGCTTTGATATCCTCAGCAGTCCCGCCCGCCTGTAGCTGAAACGATGCTTCCCAGGTAGTTACGTGAAAGAGGTTGCTTCTTCTTCCAGACTCCTCCTATTTATGTTGATTGTTGTCTGTTGTTGTTGTTGCTGTTGGCCAGGAATCTTCATCCCTCGGTTTTCTCTATGTTCACGTGAATTCTTATCTTTGATGCTTCTTCTGCCAGATTGTTGCTTTCCACTTGCATATCTTCCAGTTTTTGTGGGAAATCAGACCTTTATCATCGGCGAAATCCAGATCCTTCACGGTTTTCGTCAGGGTCCATTTTATGCCTGTTTCCTCTCTGCCTGACCTGCTGTCTGTCGCATTATCCAATCTACTGCAATCAGGAAAATCATTGGCGCTAGTAGACATCCTTGCCTCACTCCCGTCCTCACTTTGAAGGATTCCGTAAGTTTCCCGTTGTGGATTACGTGGCATGCAGCATTGTCGTACAACTGTTGGATGAGATGTATAATTGTTGATGGCACTCCGTAGTAGCACAGTAGTTGCCAAATGACTTCTCGATCGACGCTGTCGAAGGCCTTTTCAACGTCGATGAAGTTAATACATATATATTTTTTCTAGTAACTATTTGATACTGCTGTTAGTAAGACCGTCTGAGTTAGTATCGGATTACCATACTGAGGCTGACTCAATGACGAATGATTGATGATGTCATTAAAACGTGGACTTAGTGAGAATTTGAAATGACTACAGTTAGATTACTAGGCTCTGTCAGCTGAAGGGCAACTCTTAGCTCTAGCCAGGTCACCGTTTCACTGAAATCTCCATGGTTTATTTCTTTCCGAGCTCATAAAAAGCAGCTAAAATTACACTTCTGATTTGATTTCAAGTTAACTGAAAACGTTTAGCGATCCACTCACACAAATGGATGATCAGAACAATAAAAAACTAAGCTGGTCTGATGAATACAGCCTATACTACTGTTGAGGACATCATGACGGCCAATCCTTAAGTGTTCTGGTGGCTGTTGTCCGGATGACTGGAGTAGATTGATCAACCTTCAGTTGACGGATTGGAGAGTCCACTCCTATTCTATCTGCTGTCACAGCCATATATAACAATCATTATATGCAGTTACACACAACCATACAACAGTCTGGATGGGATAGGATGTCAGTTTTAAAATCTAATGTCACAGGGTAAATTGAGGGAGAGATTGATAACAGAGGCTTTGTTTATCGAATCAACTGCAAATACATGTAACAGGAATGAGTCAACACCTGTCTAGGCGGATATCTGGAAAATTATACTACCCCGACGATGACAAATGGGAGAGAACAAAGAAAACTATAAAAATCAAGTTTCTAAGTCGTATGATTACAACTGATATGATTATGAACTGCAATAAATTATGTTCGAAACCTTGTCATCCAGTAATTAATACTGTTTTACTCACTGTGTGATACATCTAATAAACAAACAAATATGGAATTACTTAATATCACAGTGCCCAAGTTTTACACATATATATATTTATTTGTCTTGACTTTGCTACTGTAATTCCATTTGTTGTTTCACTTTCTCTCTTTTGTTTCCTCTATAGTAATCGAGAGTCAATCATTCAGTAAATCCTGGAAACAATTGAACTCTGGATTGGTTAAGATTCAATTGCTGAATAATATAATCGAGTTGATACGATGGTCGGAATTTCTACTGACGCTGGCGAAATTAGCCTGTTCCGCAATGGCAACATTTTTTGGATTAATATACTTTTCTGTGGTAAGAATAATAGTTTTTTTTCCGCTGTTGGTTTTTGATTTTTTTTTCTAATTTTACCAATTTTATCGGTTGATTTTAGAAATTTGGAAATGATGTCTTTATGACTTTTCACAGAGGATTCTCTTTTCAGATGACAAAGAAAATATAGGCAGAAGTAATCGAATAGGTGATTCATATGTTGTAAACGTTTAATATTGAAGTTTGACCACTTAGAAAACCATTAAAAACCAGGGGGTACTGTTAGACGGTTGTTTCGTCTTAGTTTGAGACTGTCAAACAGTAGGCAGCCATAAGCCCACATGGGCTCCAACCTAAGGTCTTTAAGTTACGAGGTGAGTTAATTGGCCTTTAAATCACTGAGACATAATCCAGCAATTTATCAGTTCTGTCTTCTGCCACTTCGTGATACACATATAGCGTAGCCGTCAGCCGGTGTTATTGACAAGTATTTTGGTTAGCACACTCGCCGACCATGCACATGGTCCGGGTTCCATCTCCGACCAACGAACGCCTTTACTTTGCTAAACCAGTAGTAAAGCTGGTAAAGAGAGAAGGTTATGCATGAGATCAGCAATCCGATCCTCCAAAAATAAACACTGCTACAGAAACTTCAAGCCTTCTAACTTGAAGCCCTATGTTCTACTTGGAATGTGAAGGAAAACAAAAGTTGTAAATTACGTGGTACTCAACGGAACAAAGATAGAAATTCGATAAGGTTAAAATTGCTATTGAGTGAGAATAAAGGTGGTATTCAAGTGTCAATTTAACAAGTATGAAGAGGGTGTGAAATGTACACAAGGAGAATATGAGAGTGATAATAGTGAGTTAATTATTTAAGCAAAAGCAAACAGGGAACGACTAGTGAAGAGGTTGAGACCGAGGTAGAATAAGAGATTGGACAAACTTTTTCTGTATACAGAGTTCGGGGTTGTATTGAAGAATTGCCAGCGTCTCCGCCATACACAAAAGCCGAAACCTGACTCCCTTTGCTTCATTTGGCTTCACCTTGTAGACAGTGTTGAAAGACGACTCTGGTGGAGCTACGTAGCCTGAGATCACCAAATGCTCGAGATGTGAGCTAGTAATTGTCTTGCATTGTCTCTTTGCTAACCATACCCGATAATGTTCAGAGATACGTCTGGAAAGCGTGCGCTTTGTGCGGGTGACCAATATAACTAGCTCCATACGAGCAGGTGAAATTTGTAAACACACATTGAAGTGGCCAGTCCAAAGCGGCAGTTTATCCTTCACACATCCATTGATCATTTGTTGGCTGTAGAAATTGATATGTAGCTCAGCCATAAAGAAGGCTTTCCTCAGTGATCTGTATAAACGATTCTTCAGGGTCTCATCTGCAGTATCACCTTTAAATTCAACGTTCATAAATAGCAGTTTCTTCGGCACTGTCTGGATTCTTTCAGGCTTGTAAGAGACGTAACTAGAATAAATACTTTGTCAGTAGTATAATTAATTGTAAAACCAATAACTTCGTAATAAAAGGAAGTCTTTTGAAAATGAATAAACATCCATTTACACCACTTTATGACTTTGATTGCTGATTGATTAGTCACCTATTGATAGTTTAGTTTCTCTTTGGTTGAGTGAATATTTCACCTATGACACTAAGCTAATGTCGAGTTATTCAGCTGTACTTATTTGAACTATATGTTGTTCAGTTCGGGTTCCATGGATCATTTTATCTACAATCCAGTAGCATTCAAGGCCGAAATGTTATCATTACTTCCTTGAGTTTTGAGGGGAACAGTAGGAATTCAGAAGCACATCTCCATTTCAAAATTTCGTCATGAGCCAACTTGGCTAAAGGATCATTGGAAAACCTAGAGGGAGTACTGGATTGCCGTTTCCTCCTAGACTGGGACTCTTCAACAGTGCGCAGTCACCAGGGTTCGAGTCCAGGACCTTCTGGTTATAAGGCGAGCTAGTAGACCACTAACCAATCAAATCCTTGCAAACCAAACTCTAATATCTCCACTTCACTCCGGTCTTTTAAGTCTTTTTATCTGGTTTGTTACGTGCTTTTATTTTCCCTTCACTTAATCTTCTTTGTGTCATTCACGGACGCCTAACTCGTCTCCCCCTATTGTAGTTTTACTCCAGTAAATAAAACAATGCTAATTGGACTGTTCGGTCTAACACTATATGCAGGAGAAAGTGGACATGTACGGGGAATAGGTTGAGGGGGCCATCGAATTACATCGCTCTCAATGCAGGCCATGATTCAACTCAGACCCAGATGGGAAGCGTTGAGTGTGTGTCTTTCAAGGATATCATGGAGGAGATAGTGTGGGGGGGACATGGAAGATTATGTACCCAGATGAAAAGGATAGCAGAAAATGCAAAAAAAGTAGAGATGTGTTGTTGATGCCATATGTTTCACTTGGAAGCCAAGGTAATAATAATAACATAATATATAATATAATAACGAAGACAGTGGCTAGCGGTAGCGCTATGTCGTGAATTGGCAGAAGTTAGAATTCAAGGATCATTGGATCGGGTCCCAGTGGCTTAATGGCATACGAGCTCGCCTTGTAACCGGAAGGTCCTGGGTTCAAATCCCGGTGGTGCGTACTGATGAAGAGTCCCAAACTGGGCGAAACAGCTGTCCAGTACTCCCACTGGTTTTCCAATGGTTCTCTAACTAATGTCAGCTCATGATGAAATCCTGTAACCAATCAAATCCCTACAAACCAACACTTGAATAATAATAATGATAATAATAATAAATGACGGAAAGTTCATGTTCAAATACCGAAGTGGCGAAAAAAATCAGACAATCCTCAGTGTTCTCGCTGAGTGAAACATTTTCTGACATAGTTGTAAAATAGGTTTTAATTTTGACAAGGAGAATACATCCTGTGGCAAAGTTAAACTGTAAGCACCACTAACTACCAATCAGAGAATGACCTCGAACGCACCAATCACATGAAAGAAGCATTTTTGTGTATTGATTACACATATATTTATGAAAAATAAACTCACAAAAACTGTAGCAAAGTGTTACAGAGGATACCTTCCTCTCCTATGTGATAGAAATAGCTCTCAGTTTTAGCTTGGAGTATCAACAGAGTATAATTCCACTGTGGGTAAAATTTATTTTGATAAAGTCTAACAGTGTTGTACAGTAATATTTACTGAGCAATAAATTGTGCTCGAAACGTGGTCATCAGCAAACATTACTGTATAACACTGTGAGACTTTATCAGAATTAATTTTACCCGCAATGGAATTATACTGTGTCACAGTGTACAAGTTCTATTCTTATATCAACAGAGTAACTTAACCACATTCTATCCATGTAATCAATTATTTAGGCCTTCCAAACCTAACAATAACCCTTATCTTCCTTGAACCCTAACCCTAACGTGAAAAATCCCTAAACTAACTGTAATCTAACTCAAAACAACTCTAATATCGCCTTTTATTAGGTTAACCTAACCCTAATTTGTCCTTGCCTTACAGCCTAACTTAATCTTACCCAAACCTAAGCTGAAACTTGCCAGATGTCCCATTTAAAAAAATAACACTTCGATGAGCATATTTCATTGATCATGACAACATTATTTGCCAGGTTTCTCTAACTTGCTCAGAAAACATTTCAAGGTCATTGGTACGGTCGCACTCCATTGGTACTTACTGGTGCTTAAAATTTAACTTGGACCAACCTGGTAAGGAACAAAGTGGGAGGAAAGTTGAACAAAAGACCAGTCAATAATGTATCAAACAGCTAATTTTTATGTTAACTGTTCATTACTTGAGTTTAAGGTAGAGCGTGAGGCTTCAGCTGATCTCCACATCTGTCCACAGACATTTTATTCTTCAAAAATGGTTTCCTCCATGTCACCCATTCAGGACCCACTCAACGGAATAGTATGTTGAAACACTTGAATGTATTTTCAGGGTAATTTCAATACATCTCCAGTTCTAAGTATTGGTTTGTAGGGATTCGATTGATTGTTTTCAGGATTTCATTATGAGCTGACATCGGTTAGAGCACCATTGAAAACCTGGAGTACTGGACAGCTGTACTCTCAGGTTTTCCAATGGTTCCTCATGATGAAATCCTGAAACCATCTGCATTTCCTTCTTCATATTTCTGAGTAGTGGGCTCTTAATGGATTCGCTGCCTATCAGAGATTTCTTTTTATCTTACCCTTTCCAGCTGTTAATTCAATCTTAAGTATTCAAGCAGCAAAGGCATCCGCTGATGGAAGTCTGCAGTGGTCTGTTGGAAATGTCGTTCACTGGATTTTCCTTAGTTGTTTTTAGTTCCATGGATCTACAAATTGATTTCGAAGTAATGAATACCTGCTTCCGTCAACACCATCTGTAGCTGAAGTGATACTGGCTGGCTCAGAGAGTTGTTGGTTGTTGGGTGTCTTCACCACCTGAGTCTTTGCAGCCTATTTTAACAACTTTATAGTTTTCTTTTGCATATCTTGTAGTTTGTTTAACACAAGACATGTATCATCTGTATACTGTAGATATCTTTGAGTCATTTTATCAGTCCTTCGTTAGCCTATCCTTTCAGTCCCTCCTGCCTATGCTATGATCCAAAACCATAAGGTTAAGGGTGATTCAGACCAAAGTTTCTGATGAAATACAACTGCGTCCAAAATGTCATTGTGACTTCAACAACTGATAGGTATGTCACCCTAAATTTTAAAAAACGTTTCAATCTTCCTAAAAGGATATGTTATTTAAAACAAAACAGAACGTACTGACGATTCAAATTAGTTTTAGAACAAACACTAAAAAGATTAATCTACAAAACGCCGACATGGAACGCACAACTCACTGACTGTAATAGTTGGATGCCTATATATATACAAAACGAAACTTGATCCGTTTACTGAGCCATAGAATCCGCAGAATTAGCAGTTCTGACGCTATGGAAGTGAAACTGAACACTGAAAACAACTCTGTTCTAAAACATCTACCTAGAACGTTTCATCACAAGATGCATCAGGCTTAAACCCCTA